CCAAATCGCTTAAATTACCCACTATTACCTCAATTTCCTTCAACTTGAACATGTTTCTTTGGCACAAAACACATAATTTTTACAATTGTCAATTTCCTTAAACCAAACATGGAAAATATTAACGCCTTTTGACCACAGGCATGATTTCGGACCAGGCCGATCTGTATCTGGCATGTGTCAGTGCAAAACCTCTAGACCGCACAAATTGCAATGGCAACTGTTACCATAAAATTTAATTACCACTCTTACATATGTTGCGCTAATTTTTACAATTATGCTCGATTTTAAACTGCCCACTGGCTTTTGGGTTAGAAGTGAACAACAACAACAGCAACACCAACAACGAAAAAAGGGACACAACTCCGGAAAAAGTTAAACGTTTCCAAAACACAAAAATTCCTTACATAATTGTAGGCGTCATTGCAGGGCCTGGGTCACAGCGGGGTGGTGACCATTAGAAATCATGTCTGAAACCACACTGACCAGCCAAACCAAATCAACCCAACAAAAAGGACAGCCCACAACTTAACCCAAAAGACCAAAACAAAACACCATCATCATCATCGTCGTCGTCATCGTCATCGGGTAATACCAACACTTAGACGCGACATATTTTAGCTCTGTAATTTTCCAACGTTTATCAGCTGCAATAAATCTAAACACTTTCTTTTCTGGCCAAATGCAGTGTTGTTTCCAAAACTAAGCAACCCTTAGTTTTTCCAACACCGCCAATTGCGGCCAGGTAACTGTCCTTTTTGCCGCTCCGCTCGTTGTTAAGAGACACAATTAAATTTAACCAAAAAAAATGTGAATTCTCTTTTCTCCGATTTGAAATTAAGATAAGCCACAAATTAGCGCTGAATATGGCGAGAACTTTACATAATAATTTTACTTGCGTACTCCCCTACCCCCAACGCTGTTGTCAAGCTTGTGTTATTTTTCGCTCAACAAAAACGCAATCCTGTTATCATTTCAAACGGATCATTTGTCACAGATGTTTGGTTTATTAGTTGCAGCAAAGAATGAAAATCATTTAGACGCCTTTAGAAGAGCTGGAGAGCAGAGCTTTTGTTGTTGGTGGTTGCGGTTGGTGGTTTGGTTTGGTGTGGCCTCAAGCTTGGTTAATGCAAGTTATGGTGTTAAGGTTGGGTGTTTTTTTTCCTGGCCTCCGACAAGGTTAAGAGTGGGGTGTTAATATTATCTCTCTACGCTGCCTACATATCTGCCCAGCCGGTTTGCATTGTGACTTCGGGATATGGCTGACAACGATGACTTAACATTTTGATGATATGATTGTGGTTGGCCAAATGGTGGCATTTAACCATTTAACCCTTTTAGAATTCAAATATTCACAAAGCCCCTGAACCCGAGCAAAAGATCATCTATTGTTTTTCGAAATGATTTCATTTCAAAATTTTCTCTTCCTTTGTTTTTGCTTTACGAGTCAAGCATGACTTGTTAAAAATTTTGTAGTAAAAGTTTAATTGTGATGACATATTGGTCTCTGATGATGTTTATCTATTAATAAATTTTCTAGGTTGTCTTTTTGGTGTTGGCACAAAGGAACACACACATTACCCTTGAAGGTTGGAGTGGGAGATACATCCATATATCCTCATTGTAGTGCTTTAAAGTGTTACCATGGTTAGCCCCTTTTTTCACTGCGGATACATTTAATAAGCTTGGTTAAGCTTGATATTTAGTAAAATTTACCATCTGCCACATTTTTTCCAATGATATTTAAAATTTTGAGTGATCATCTGAAAAGTGAAAGCAAGTCATCCCAACAAATAATGATAATCATTTTATTTAGAACTTAGATAGCTACTCTTGGCGAGGGAGTGGAGAGTTATAATTCATTTTTGAGTTGTTATTACATATGCGTATAGATGTGTTAAAAGGGTGTCTCAGTGGTAAACTTCGTAAGATTTGTATATCTTCAGTAATATTTGATGATATCAAAATGGGCCTCTTTAGTTTTAAACCCCATGTTTCTGTGGGCAAAATCCGTTTCGGGACATGTGAAGTCGATCTAGCTATGTCCGCTCCTCTGTCTGTGTGAGCAAAAATTCTCAAAAGAAATATTCAAAATAACACAAATTTGGTATATTGTAGTATTTTAGCCAAATTTAAATCAATTTAAAAAACAGGTATCGCCCAAAAAAATTAAAAAAGCAGTAAGTTTGGACGGACAGGAACACCCTCCACCATTTGGAACGAATATAGAATATTTTCAAAAAAAAAAAAAAAAAAAAAACTGAAACTGAAACTGTTAACAATTCTATTAAAATCTTAGAATATAGGGATCTACCGGGAAAACGTGGACGGGCATAGATAATTTTTGTAATAGACCATTATAACATTGAAATACGAAACTTGAAACAATTCCGGTGAATAATGTTCCAAAACACGACAAAATGCCAAATATAGGGAGGAATCGTTATATGGAGGCTATACGAAAACGTGAATCTGCTTAGCCAATTTTCTGTCACATTATGTCGTACCCACTAGAAAGGAAATACGAAGTTTGTAAGAATTTCGATAAACAATGTCGCTAAAATCATCAAAATACAAAATTTGGGGAGGTACAGTTACATGGCGGCTATGAGAAGACCTAGACCTGCATGTACAATTTTCTGTCATGGGTTGTGGTATCCATTAGGAACTTCAAATACGAAATTGGAAACAATTTAAAAATGATGTAAATAAAATGATCACAATATCGAATATAGGGTGATACCGTTATATGACGGCTATGCGAAGACATGGACCTGCATGTACAATTTTTTGCCACAGGTTGTAGTTCCCATTACGAACTTTTATTACAAACATTTCCGATGAACAATGTCGCTAAAATCATCGAAATACCGAATATGGGGAGCTATACCTAAACGTGGTCCTATATAGCCCACATTCAATAACAAAATTCTGCAGACCAAACACAAATTTGAGTAAAATTTTATCAACCTTCTTCAATTCGTTCGGAGGTTCGAGTGATTTTAAAAGACGGACATAAACCGATATAGAATTTTTGCTTATCTAGAATATATACAGGGTGAGATGAAAAAACTGCAACCAACTTCAGACTGCTCTCAGTTCCAAGCCAGTCGTCCGACAGATGTTAAAATTATTCCAGTGACAGCCCATTATATTGTTTTCAAGCGTACAAAAGCATTTTTGTGAGAATTTTCCAGAAAAAAAGTTATTCGTGATGGAATTCAAGCGCGATAGTGTGATTTCTTTATATTTGGCTGGAAAACAAAAAGTTAGAGCATTTCAGCATTTAAATGTGAATAAATCTTTTGTGTCTCGTACCATCGCCCGACGGTGGACGGAAGAAAACAGAAACATCAGCAGAAATGGTTCGAAAAATAAAGAAGCGACTTGATCGAAGACCGCGTCGTGGCATCAGAATAAATGCAGAATATTATCGCGAAAATATTCTGGAGGGTGTATTAAAGCCTTGGGCATGCAAACATTTTGGCCGAAGACCTTGGACATTCCAAAAGGACTCAGCACCATCGCACTCAGCATGGGCCACCCAAGAATGGTTACAAAATGAGGTTCCTTGCTTCGTTTCCAGCGCACAATGGCCACCGAAATCTCCGGGTACCAATCCGTTTGACTATTGTGTCTGGAGTATTTGGGACAGCAAGGTTGGCACTAAAAAATACCAAAGCGTCGATCACCTCAAGCAAGCGCTTCGCCGGGAATGGGCCAAAATACCGCAGAGAAACATTCGGGCAGCGAGTGACGGTTTCATTGGCTGTTTGAAGACCATAATTCGTTCCAAAGTTGACCAATTCGAACAAATCTAAACTTATTCTAAAATTTGATGCTATTTTCGAAATTTTTTGCTTTCATTCAATAAAATTAAAAAAAAAATAAATTAAATTATGGCGTTTGTCTCTGTTGCGGTTTTTTTGGTTCACTCTGTATATAATGTTACAATTAGGAAAGCGTTTGAAATTCGGTAGAGTTCTTTGGATTTCCCCCAGAAGCATTAGGAAAGAAAATGGGTCATATCGGTTTGTCATGTAAGGGTAACCCCTTTAAAATAATTTTGTAGAATATTTTGATTTGCTTCGATTCCGTTTCAAGAGAGTATTTAACCATATTTTAAAAAAAGGCCCCTTTTAGACTCGCAAAATAATACTCGAGTCTTTATCTGCAATTTTTTTCTGCCGAAGACACTATATATGCCTAAAATGTATGGATTCCCAAGAATCTTTATGCGAAATTTTCCAACATTTCAATTTTCCTTTAACGGACAACGGACGACTTTCTTATCTGACCTGAAATCTATGACTTTTTGTGATAACTTATGTCCTATTCAATAATAAAATAATCGAATAATGAGAGTTAATTGCTTCCGTTGTACTCATGGATATTATAAGATTATTTACTTCTTGAATTAAATTAATCAACACATTTCAGTATAGGTGACCTAAGAACTACTTCAAAATCGGAATAATTCCATATAATCAAATATTCAATTCTCAATATATATTTTCCACAAAGTCGTATAAAATTATTCGATTTTATAAATTTTCGCTTGGCTTTAATGGCAAAAAATATTAATTATATAATTTTCCGTAGATTTATTATTATATTATTCTAATATTTCTGAATTTTCTTTTTCAATTTGTTTTTTTTACAAAACGTTTATTATTTTTTAATAAAATTCCAGTATTAAAATTATGTAATTTTTATTTAATAATATTACAATAATTTTTGAAAAGCAATTATTTTAAATGTTTGCCTGGTGTTTAAGCCCTGTATTTTTTTGACAATTTAGAATAGAGTTTTAATTTTTCACCACAGAAAAAAATATATTTAAAATTATTTAAAAATGTAAATAAAAAATTCTTAAAAACCGTATATTTAAAGCCCAAGTAGAAATTTCAATAGAAAATCCTATTTTTTTGTTTTTTTTTTTATTATTTTTTTTTTTAAATAAAACCACAGATTTATTTATTTTTTTTTTTAATTTTGTTAAAAATATTTCATTTTATTTTCAATGATTTAATTTGCAATTTACATTTTGTCTCTGTATGAATAATTAAGAAAATACAATTACTTCCAAGAAATATCTCAAGAAACCTTAGTTCTGTACTGTTTTACTAGAATTGGCCGGCAACTTCCATCTCAAAAAAGACTTCCAAAAAAGTTGGTGTAAAAAACCTAAAAAAAGGTTTTTACAAAATCAAATATTTCAAACCAAAAACCCATTTAATTGTTACACATCACTTTGTCAGCTGTTATTAAAAATTGAATACAAAAATATTTTGAGTATGTAATTTTTGAAAATGTTTTTTTTTATTATTAATGTTTTACAATTTTTTTGTTCAAGTTTTTTTTTATGAGAGTATTTTTTTAAGAAACTTTTGTGTTTTTACTTTTTTCGGAATCACAATACGCTTTGATTGAGCCGCTAAGAGCTACCAAAGAAAATGTATTTTTTTACAAAATGAAGAGAGGAAAAAAAATATCTAAAAGACTGACTATGGATTTTTTGGTAAATGAAAACAATTCCATCGATAATATGAAATATAAAATAAAATACAAAATAAAATAATAAAAACAATTTAAAGCTTAGTTTTAAGAAATTAATTTTTTCTTTTGCCATGGGTTTTGGTTTTGGGTGATTTTTCATCCTGCTGGTTGGTATTTCTTCGATGCGACGGTTTTTTGACAACAGGAGTTGAGTTGGAGTTGGTATTTCCCGTCACCGTTGTTGTGTTAGCTGCGGCAGGAGTTGTTAAATTTTCTGCTGCCGCTGTGGCTCCCGCGGAACTTTCCGCTGAGGTAGAATTTTCTGTTGCCTCCTCTGTTGAATTGTTGTTGTCGGTGGTTGCTTCAGCCGTTTGACTTTGGAAATTAACGGAAATTTGTATAACCGTCGGTTGCAGTTGCGATGATTCATGGTAAAACCTCAGGGCATGACAAAAAACCTGGGCCAGGAAATCCCAACAGCCGGTGGCCTCGGCGGGTGTATTGGCAGTAGGCACTGTTACATTAATGGTAGTTCCATAGCCCCTATCGCTGGATGTCGCTGATGGACTGGATGGTGTTGCATCCGTCGGCCTCGATGATTGATTTGTGAGTGGTGTTTGACTTGATGCCGCATTTCTTTGATTATTGGCTGCCTCGCGATTTTGACGTCGTCCAGCCAATAATTTCGCCTGATCGGGTATATAATATGCAATTGCCATTTTGTTTTAATTTTTTCACTTTTTTCGATTTTTTATAAAATTTCAATTATTTTTCTTTAAGTCTTTGTTGTTAATTGAGTTTCTGTGATTTTGGCGCCAAAAATATTTCCACTTCAAAAATTACGTAAAAATCGTATGTTCTGTGCATGCGCTTTGTATTATTTTGCTGTTCGGAATAATTCAATGTTCTGTGCTACTTCGGTGTTCGTTTATCCTTCACTACAAGGTTGAATGTTGTCTCGTGGTGGACTGTGAATAGACTGACTGTGCATATCCTTGTGGCACAGTATTTTATAACATTCTGCTTTGCTTTAGCTTCCTGTCGTAGTAAAGTTGCATTTCAGTGTTTACTCAATACCAGGAAGCAACAGTCCACAAATACATACACAGACAGGCAATGATAGGGAGCACAGAATGCTCGCATAGACCAATAAAGTTTAATAGAAGTGGAGGGCTGACTGACTTACTGATGGTGGTGGCCTTAAATGCATGAATTTCACCCTCCCCAGGAAAAGTTCCAAACCACCACCACTACATACACATACACACACAGAAATATTTCTCAGAAAATTACCAACTAGAATTGCATTAGCACCTTAATAAGACTTATTGACGGTAAAGGCAACACAAACAGAGAGCGGCAAGGAGAGAGAATGAGAGTATTTCTATCACAACTCTCAAACAAACAACCCCTAAGTTCGAGTTCGAAATGAATGTGCTGAAAGAAGTTCTATGTGAAAGGGGAAGTTTGCTTGGCTGTGGAATAGGGGAAGAATATTTCACTTTTTTTTCCTAACACTAAATGAAAGAAATTCTCAATTGCTTTGGAATTTTATGTCGAAAGCAACAGTGACTGAACCCAAAGGGGAAGTGAAGTGAATTTCGAATTTTTAAAAGAGATTTTTGTGTGTGACTACGGTCTCTCACTTGAAATTTTCAATGGCTAAGGGGAAGAAGTTCTCTACGACTTCGAAATTATTTTTTTATGCTTGTAGTGGCCAGAGAAGCATGGGTCTCTTGTGGAAACCGCTCATATCGTTGTTATAGAGGATATATACATTAAGTCACCTATTACAGAGTAGACTGGCTTTTATATTAGCTACTATAGATAAGGTAACCGCAGAGTAGAGGGCCTACTCGACATCTAATAGAGATAGGATGAAATTATAAAGCAGAGATAGATAAAGCACCTCCAGTCATCCACTATCTGTTGGATGCGGTCTCTGACCAACTATTGTAGAGTGACGCCTCAGGCCATCTACTACTGCAGGGTAGATGTGATCATCTATTGTAGAGTTGAGGCCCCATGTGGTCATCTACTGTAGAGTAGATGCCCCCTGTGGTCATCTACTGTAGAGTAGATGCCCCCTGTGGTAATCTACTGTAGAGTAGATGCCCCCTGTGGTCATCTACTGTAGAGTAGATGCCCCCTGTGGTCATCTACTGTAGAGTAGATTCCCTCTGTGGTCATCTACTGTAGAGTAGATGCCCCTGGTGTCCTCTACTGTAGAGTAGGTATCACTTGCTGTCAGCTACTGTGGAGTAGATGCCCCCTGCGGTCTTCTACACTGAAGTAGATGTCCCCTGCGGTCTTCTATTGTAAAGTACATATCCCCTGCGGTTATATACTGAAGAGTGGATGTTCCCTGCCGTCGTCTACTGTAGAGAAGATGACACCTACGGTCATCTACTATACGGCGGCCATCTAGGGTATAGTAGATGTCACCTCTGGTCATGTACTGCGGAGTATACTGTATGGTAGATGTCCCCTCAGATCTTCTACAGTAGAGTAGATGATCTTTCAGGTCATCTTCGGTAGAAACATTGTGCCTCAGTTCATCTACGGTAGAGTAGATGATGCCTCCCATCATCTACTGCAGACTAGATGATGCCTCCCATCATCTACTGCAGAGTAGATGATGCCTCCCATCATCCACGGTAGAGTAGATGATGCCTCCCATCATCTATTGTTGAGTACATTATATCTCCCATCATCTACGTTATAGTAGATGATGCCTCCCATCATCTACTTTACTTATGGCCATCTACTGCAGAGTAGGTGACACCTCCGATCATCCACTGTATAAAAGATATTGTTTATGGCCATGTAGCTGGAGCCTCCGGACATCTAAAATATAGTGGATGATGCCACGACATGTGCTGTACTATTGAATGTTTACCTCTGGTGGAGAACCTAACACCCAATTTCAAATTCTCCGCTTTCCACATCTTAGATTCATATTTCATGGAAAATCATTTCCAATCACTCTCCATTTCAATCTCTACTAGCATTTCCTTCACTCCATACTGGATTTGCATACCAAGAAGCAATCACCTTTAAGTCACCTCTAAACGCAATGTGCTCCCTTCAACTTTAAGCTGACATAACATCCGGCAAAGCTGTGGAAAAATTCCAAAACGACCTTAAACTTGACACAATTTCTTTCGCCCAGCAACACATTTTAGAAATCCACCATAAATGACAGGCAAGCGGTTACACTCGCTCCCGCTAACCCATCAAATGACCTTAACATTTACATGGATTATTTAATTCCCTGACCTTGAAAGCTACATTTTGCAACAAACAGAAATCAAAACGCTCCCCATTCAGATAAGCGTTTCTGAAATCCAGGCAAACACACACACTTACAAACCCATGGAAAAAATCCCCATACGAACATGTGTACTCTACCAATAAACACTGTTGCTAAGAGCGCGTTTTTCCATTTTCATTGTCAAGGTCATTTTCGCGGGTGCCACCAGCACGCTTAACACCAAAAAGTGGGTTAGTTGCTTGGTTTGCTGAGTTTAGCATAATTTTACTTTAAGGAGGGATTGCTGGAAACTGTTACCCAGCATTTTGCCACTCACTTCAACTTTAAATCCTTTGGTGGCCATAACGACAATTGTTCGGAAACGATTCTTGGATGGTAGTAAGCTGAGCACATGGGGACCCGCCATGCACTTGGAAAAACAGGATATGGTGGTGACCTTGATAATGAAATGATTGGGAAAAACTCATTTAGAGGGAACAGTTGAAACAGAGTAATGGATAACATTCTGGGTGGGACCATAGCACAGAGGAAGAAAAACTGGATAATAATGGCAATAAATGTAGTGGTGATTGCATTTTCAAGGACATTGTTTTAGATTAAGTTATATTGTAATGGCTCCTGTCATATTTGAAAATATGGTAGAAGAAGGGAATTCAGAAAAAGTTTAGAGGAACTAAATCATGTTGATAGATTCTATTGCCTTAAGAGATTTGCCAATTTCATGGATCAATTAAAAGTATTTATTATCCGTTTATTTGATTTCAAAATTCATTGCCTTTAAATGACCTCTCTTGATCGTTCTATTAACCCCAACATAAACCTGAACTAAACCCCATTTTATTTGGCTGTAAACTATTTTAAAAATATAAAATTTATTTCTGCACCCATTACCCGGGGTCATAACACCTGTGAACTCCAAGATATCTGATTTAACCCAACACACAGGACTTTTTCGTGCTGTCATTATCTCAAATCTTTAGTGTTACCAACTTACCTTTAATTTATGGCTTTTCATCAAACAGATGAGCTGCTCGTTTTCCGTTGGTCGTTTGCTTTTTTTTATGGGCAGACTTAGAGTTGCTTTTGGGGGTTAAGGAAATCCATCAAATTTTAGTTTATTTTTAGTTTTCTTTTTTTTTAAGAAAATTCCCCATAGTTACCTGTCAATTTTTACGTAGTGCAAAAACTAAGGAATTTTCAATTTTCCCCCATCTTTTTGTGCGCTCCCCCCAATTCTTTGGCCCTCCCTTTAGAACATGAAAAATCCATAAAAATCCTTAGAAATATACACACCGACAAAAATGAACTTCCTTCCAAGAAGAAGTAGTTTGCCAGGCGCATAACTTTAGTTTGGAGACTTTTATTACTTAATACCCTAAAAAATAAGACATCCCAAGACTTGTTACTCCAGAGGAGTTTTTGGCTGTCTTTTTGTTGTTGTTGTTTAGTTAACTACAAGTGCATTACATTTATAAACCCTGGTTAAGAGTTTTCCTGGCTAAGTGTGGGCGGTAGTCACACCCCCCAACAACCGCTAACTTTATTAAATATTCCACAAAATGCATATTAAATGCATCCTCTGGAAATGGCTTTGGGCCACAACCAGATGCACTCTCCTCCACAAAAGGGAAAAAAATTAATCCAACAAAACGTGTTACGTGCCTCTGTTGGAAAATATTTAAAATAAGCTAAACCACCAACCAGCTCCGGAACATTGGGCAACAGCTATTTGGTCTTCCCCCAAAAGACTTACAGGTGTTTGTTTTTAGCAGCAGTTCGTTTTTTTCTGTTTTGTTTTTATTTTGGGTCCAAACTCCTGATGATGTGCAATTTTTTTCTTTCAAAAAAAAAAAAAAAAAAAACTCTTTTCTTTTGTTTTGTCTTCTTCCTTTGTTTTGTTATTTTTGTTTTTTATTATAAATTATTACGTTTAAGTATTCATCAGCGAAAACATATTTCATGCTTTTGGGAAATTCCATTTTAATTTTTTTTTCCTGCAGAACACATTTCTCAACCATAACCAGAGGAAGACATCCTGTGAATGGCTAACAGCATCCTGCCAGAGAATAGTTTTCCATCATTTGATATTCTCTTTTATTTCTGCTGTTGTTTTTTAAGTTTTCTGCTTTTTTGGAGGAGGTTAGCGTTGGTGTGTAAAGTTTTCATGGCTTTTTGATTAGTTCAAGCAAGAAAAATTTATGCGCGAAAGTTAGAAAGGCGTACAACAAATTGGGAAGATGGGAAATGTGGAAGAGACGGCTCTCGAAGGAAAATATATTAAACATCCAATTTCCCTTGGGAAAATAACTCCTGGTAGACTTTAAATTTTAGAAGGCTCTTAGTTTTTTTTTTTTTGAAAGTCTTAATTTATTAGAAGATATTTCAGATGCCTCCTACTGAGAGAAAAAATAGATAGGACCCTTCAAATGTTATTCCATAGAACCGCTATGATTCAAATGATTTTTTATATAGAAATCCTTGTTATATCCTAACTCATTCTATGAAGGGTATATTAACTTTGGTGTTCCGTGAGTGACCCCTTGAAACATTCATGATAGACCCTACAAAATATATATATTCTGGATCAGCGTTAAATTCTAAGAAGATTTAGTCTGCCTGTCTGTCCGCCAGTTGTAATCACGTCATATTTCGAACGAATTGAGATAAAAAGCTAAAATTTTGGATTAACCGGAATAGT